GAGCATAGGGTTTTATTGCCGGTCGGGATTCGGATACCCCCCTACAACTAGAAGCCTTCTTCTTGCCTATGTAGCAACCAAGAAGGCTCGAAATACAGGGGGGTACTGCTGTAACCATGTGGAGGTGGACTTTTCACGAAGGGTACTGAACTCCCCAATAACGTCTTGTGTTGTGATCGGAGACAAATTAACTCCCTCTTTTTTTTTTTTCGAAAACGGTGGGCTGGGACGGGCGGAACCGATGAACAAAGAATTTCAGCAGCGGCACAAAGAGAACGTGAACGGAAGCCGCCAACCGCCACACGGACGATACTACTACGGTGCCTTTCGGAATAAAAAGTCATAGGCACCGCAGGTAGAAACGGACGGTGTGGCGAGATACTACGGTGCTCTTCAGAATTGAAGGTAAAGGCACCGCAGGAATAATGGCGGTTTTCCGCTCAATGCCTAACGGAGGCCAACCCTCGACCTTTTCCTAACCCGCGGTGGCCTCTACGGCAGACCGCCCCTTCGTCCCACGGGAGGAGCTGCAGTGTGGCGAGATGCTATTCCGAGATGATACTACTACTCAGAATTGAAGGCATAGGCACCCAGGAGTAACGGTGGCCCCAGCCGGTGCGCCGAACGCATGTACAGCGAGAGAGGGTTGATGCTTGTGGCGCCGAGAATACATTGGACGTCGCATGAGAAACGAAAACGCAACTAGCTAATATTGTTCGTCCGACAATTTTTTTTTTCGTGGCAATCTTGTAAACCGGCCCATGGTCGACTCCTGCGCGACGCCTCTTTCTCTCTACTAAAAAAGGAGCGCCTGTTACGTTTTACGTTTAGGGTGGACTATTGCAGGGTGCATCGAAGGGAGACCTGCGACCTGCGCGTGTGAAAGTTGTTGTATCTGCCTGGCACATGAACAGTCTGGGCTCCTGCTGTCGCTAATGAAAACCAAGATGGCGGCAGGCAGTACTGTAGTAGGGTGGACATCGAAAACCAAAGGGGGCGTGTCTGGTGGCTTCCTATCTATCCGGAGACTAACTCGCGTCGGTCGGCATGCATGTTGGCTTGGCAGGTTGCGGTTATCTGCCACCACCCATACCCCGGTCCGTGCCAAAACAATGCGCGGATACGCGGACCTACCGTAATTCCGCACCAAAGAGACCGAAAATGACGAATGAATGCTGCTTGCTGTGATTTGACAAATAATCGCAAGTAGATGTCAGCCAGCCGTCGATAGCAACCTAATTGGCGCGCGACGGAGAGCCTAATCTAAGCCACTGACTGGTGGTAGAAAAAAAGGCACCGCGAAGCAATATCTAACCCTCCACCCAGCTTTGATTGGTAAAAAACACATCGAGTCCAACGCAAACCCGCCGGCGCCTTGGTGTACCCCAACAACAGTCAAGACTCCCTCCAAGGTCTTGGTGGGGTCCCACGTCTCCCACTCCGATGCATATACTCTCCAATTGCCCGACTTCTCGAAGGCAGACCGAGCTGAGGAAAACTTGAAAGTCGCGAAAAAGCTGAAGACAGCAGCACCCGACTACAATATACCTAGCGGCCAGACAGACGAAAAAACAGATAACCCCCCCCCCCCAATTGGTCCATATTTTCCGAATTGCCCACCGAGGGATGACATCGTGGGACAGACTTTGACAAAATGGGTACGACGGAAGTGATCCGGTTAACGCGCTCGCTCCTCTTCTCTTCTATCAACGGCATATTATAATATACACCTCCAACATTTCCTTTCTATGTACCAAGTGCATTTGGGTGGCCGACGCCGGGAGAATTTTCCTAGAATTTTCCTTTCGTTCTATTGTGAATCCGGAAATTCGTGCAAAACCGACCGTGGCAATGTCGACACTGAGACGGAAACCCGCATAAAACTCGTGGACCCTGGCGTTCTTGACAAAACAATACACGACAAAAAGAACAGTAATATCACTTCTTGGCCAACGAGGTGATCAACGAACCGAACGTCTTGCTCGCTTTGGCGGAAACCCGCACAAGAAAAACCATAACAAATGAGGGACCGTGCCGGTATTAATATCCGGACGGAAACCTGCTCTGGTAAAAGAACTCTGACGGTAGCGATGTTGAGACGGAAACCCGCACAGTAATACCCGCACAAACTAGGGACCCTGACGCCATCAATACCGAGACGGAAACCCGCACCGATGGAGAACCCTGACGGTATGGATATTGAGACTGAAACCCGCACAGTAACACCGGCACAAGCGAGGGACCCTGACGGCATCAATACCAAGACGGAAACCCGTACCAACGGAGAACCCTGACGGATAACTAACTGACAAAGAACAACATCACTTCTTCTTGGTGACAGAGGCGATCAACGAATCGATCGTCTTGCCCACTTTCGCGTAGTCGGACTCGTTGCACTGTGCGGTTATCGTCGCAAGTTGCCCCTGCTCCGGGAAGAGAACCCACATAGTCTGCGGGAAAAAACAAGACATGGTTGTTGTTAATGCGGGGTTAAAAAAGACAATTCCATGGTATCTGTTGGCGCGGGAAAACGCGACACCATGGTATTTGTTGATGCCGGAAACCACCCAATACCATGGGGTTTGTTGGTTCGGGATCAGCACACAATACAATGGTGTTAGTCGATGCGGGAAAACACAATTCCCACCGTGGAATTTCTTGAAGCGGCAAAAAGGAGGGGTTGGGGGTTGGGGTTGGGGGGCTTAAGGAACGCAAAGGAACGGAGAGGGGAGGAAGTGAGGAGGCGTTTGGCGGGAAGGAACACGTGAAGTACGCTCGGGTTATTCAAAACGAAAAAACTCAGACCCCCGTTTCCCCGATTACTTGCCTGGCTGTGCGGCGATGCTAATCAAACACACATATATATATATATACACACATCCGCCCGTCCCCCTGTGGGTAGGGTCCTTTGGCTTGTAGAAAGCGTGTTCGCGGATTGTATCCCGCTGTGAGACTGACGTCTTATCATTGGTCAGCCGGGTACGTAGCGCGGTCGATGCTACAAGTAAAGCCCAGGTATGTGCCCATTTTTTCTCCCACTCACTGCTGTAAGGACTTCAACACATCCCCTTGGACTATTTTGGTATTATCTCGAACGAGTAGTCTTTCCGTGTGTGAATGCTTCCAAAAACAAGACACACAAAACATATCCCGCGTAACTCCCTTGTGCGTAGAGGCCTTTGACTAGAAAGCGTGTTCGTGTTCTGTATCCCGGTGCCAGACTGACGTCTTTTCATTGGTCGGCCGGTCAGCGCGGTCGATGCTACCCCAGTATCCCGCCGGCGTTTCTCCCGCCTACTGCAAAGACTTTCAACGCCCCCCGTGCGACTGGCTGTGTTTATATCTCCAACGGGTAGTCTTTCTATCATTTATGGTGTACTGCTGTGTTCTCTGAAAAAGACACAAAACCAATCCGTATTTTTCTGACAAAAAAAACGAACGGTATTTTCTGAAAAAAAAACACAAACCCAATCCGCGTACCCCCCCCCCCCCGTTGTTCTGACCTTGATGTGCTTCTCCGGGCGGCCCTCCTGATCGACGATGTAGTCGTACACGTAGGAGTTCTTGTAGGTGTACGACTCCAACATCCTGCTCGAGACGCCGCTAGCCTCCGGAAGCACGGTCTTGCTAACTTCGTCCAGAGTACCGAATGAACCTTTTCGTTTTTATCAAGGGAGGACAGGTGGAGGGACACAGCAAAAACACACGCGTAGCAAGATTATACGATCTGAGCGGAGATTGCTTTGTTGTTGTCGCTGCGGGAAGCACGGTCTTGCTCGCTTCGTCAACGGCAACGAATGGACTTCTTGTTTGGGGGGGGCGAGGATGGCGGGGGGAGAAACGAGGTGACCACAGGTGAACATACAAAATTACACACAGAGCAAGCAAGATATACTATATTTTGTCTTCGTTGCTTCGGGAACAATTCTACTACAGTACCGAATGAACCTTAAAGTTTTGGGGGGCGTTGATGACGGGTGCGTAGAGAAATCAGGTAATCGCTGACGCAACCAAGACAAAAATGCACGGGTAGCAAGGTACACGATTTTTTCCGCACGGTATATCACCCCCACGACTTATAAGACGCTTTGAAAACATGTGCTTGTGGTATATTATGGTATATACCGTATACGACACAAGATAACACACCCCCTAGACCGATTTTCAAACCTGGATTACGCCACGACGAAGAGCATGCACGAACGAAACGATACATTTTCGGAAATTTCTCGAGGAGATGGTTCCAACGCCGCCGTTTTCGGCGCTCTGAACTCTTCCTGCTGATGAGAAATCGCTTACCCAAGGATGAGAAATCGCTCACCCAAGGTAGTGAAATCACTTACCTAAGGTAGTGAAATCGCTTACCCAAGGTAGTGAAATCGCTCACCCAAGGTAGTGAAATCGCTTACCCAAGGTAGTGAAATCGCCTCGTGCGGGCGTGTAGGCCACAAAGGCGTTTGCCCCGGGAGTCGTCGGGCTCGTGTACACGACTATCTTCCGCCTCCCCGAAATCTCGGCGTCGTTCCTCTCCCACCCGTCTGGGACCTGTTGCGAAAAGCGGAAGAAAAAAAAAATGACCGTGTGGAGGATTCCTGTCGGAAGCATAACCAACCACTGTGCACATACAAAGTGCAGTCGTGGTTCCGTTTTAGCGGTCCATATTGTCAAAAAGTGTTGTAACCGTTACTGAGGGCATCGCCGCTAAACCGGATTGGCAGTAGTTTGACTACCGAGGTGCAGCCGTGCCACGAGATCTTGGGACCACTATTGAGGGCATCCCGTAAACAGGGAAGGAACTAACCGCCAACACCGGGACTTTTTTTTTTTTTTTTTTTCTTCACTTCAAATCAGCGCTCACAGCACTAGGTGCCGTTTATTCCAACCCGTGGTCACACAGAAGAGCCTCTCTTCTACCCTCCCCTCCTGCGGTACTTCGCCTTCAATTTTTAATGCGAGAAGAGTTCAGCACTCTCTTCCCTCTGTGTACACACGAACTAGCGCTATCCACTTGGCCAGGAGCGGAAGCGAGAGAACTGTATAGGAAGATAAGATCCATCCCTCTGTGTACACACGAACTAGCGCTATCCACTTGGCCAGGAGCGGAAGCGAGAGAACTGTATAGGAAGATAAGATCCATCGTGGTAACTGGCCATCGGGAGAGTGGCCAGAAATGCACCGTTGAGACCTTTCTCTTCCAGAGTCTTTGGCCGCTTGCCGAGGGTAGAGGCGGAGAGGCTTCGACTCTCCTCCCTCTGCCCTCTGGTCACTACCTCTCTACCTCTCTCTCCTCTCTGCATCTCACGAAAGGAAGCTAGCCGCCCTTGGGGTGGGAGAATGCTGCGACGGCACTGGCCCCTGCCTCTGACGGGAGCCTGTGTTCTCGCTAGTACTTTGTTATTCAGTAGATAGAGAAGCGTATTTAAAACAAGCAAAACAGAACGGAGCACGCAGAGCACGGCGGCATTCCCCGTTGCAGCCATGAATCACGACTAAACGCTGAGCTATAGTATTTTTCTGTCTGGAATATAGAACGCAGTTGGAGGCACCTATTCGGCAGAACCTGTTGTTGTTGTCGTCGTCGTCGTTGCTCATTGTCGTTGTCTTCACAAGGGCCACCTTTCCCATCTCTGCTCAGCACCTTCATTTCATGTCCGCGCTGGCCCAACTGATGCGCACGCCTTGCCACACGTTCCAACTACAACCCTACCATACAGGGGCACCTTACCATACGCGCGAGTTTACCCCACGTGGAAACTCCGCCCTCCACGAAAATCCTCCCCCCTCGCGACGTTAACTAACCTCAACAAATATGAACAAAATGGTAGATATCGGGGGGGGAAACTAACATGTGGCGAGTATCATTCCACTCGGACACTCACGTCGAAATTGAAGCCCAGGGCATCGTCCGTGAACGTCTGCGCGTTGCCAGCCGCGGGCAGCAGAGCGAAGCCGGCGGCGGCGGCGGCCGCCGCTGCCCCCGCGCCGCGGAGAAAGTCTAGGCGGCTTGCTGCCGCTGCCGAGGAAGAGGCGGTTTCTCCTCTTCCCGTTGTCGGTGGGGGCGGTGACGTTACGGCCGGTGGGCTCGAGGGTACGAAGGCCTGCGGGTGGTTGGGGGTCCGAGAGGTAAATAATAAGCATCCCGTCCGACTTGGGTATATCTCGAGCGGGTGTTGTAATCTTTTTAGAGAGTACACATAATCTCACAGAAAGACCACCCGTTCGAGACAATACCACAGTCGAAGGAGATGTGTTGAAGTCTTTACAGTGAGTGGGTATTGTAATCTGTTCTGTGTGTGTAATTATTTTTCCCAACAAGGGATCGATCAGTTCCCTGGTGTGGTGTTTCAAAACCGTATACCCCCAGCCCTTTGAAGGCTTCGTTGCCGGCGAGGTATGTATACGGTCGCTGATTGATTGGGGTTGTGTTGCAAAATGGTCGGATGTCCGGGCTGCGGGCGGTCCGATGCATCCTTGGTATGGGCTCGATGGCCGGTTGGTGTGGAACCTGAAAGGCTAATAATCCTGTTGAGATGTGACCTTGTGATGGGTGCATCCCTGGCAATCGCCACTACTTTGTAATGTACGATGATCCGATTACTGAATCAACATACCGAAGAGTATTCCGGTATGTTCTCCTTAGGTAAATACCTACGTACTGTTGTTTACAGCATTACAAATACTAATGCCTGACATTGAGTATTCCAACAGGAACCTCTATATGAGGTAAATGGCTACATCTATGCCAACAGGTTGGGAGGTTAACATTGGTATGGATTGATTGGCCATATCGTGTGCGGATAAGGTAGCATTGGGATGTACATTGTAGCGATTGTGAGCAGGAGAGGAGGGAGGCGACGGAACCCGCTTTTTTGCGTAGTGTGAAGGAGCATCGAGGTTGAAGATGAAAAGCCAAGGCAAGTCAAGTCCTGTCGACGATGCCATGTGTGACGGCGGTGCACCATGGAGTGTTCCACGGAAGCCCACGGAATTCCATGACCGAGGGTAAGAAGTGCAAGAGTCAAGTCTTGCCGACGACGCCATGACCGACTCTAAGGTACACAACGAGGTGCAAGCCGAAAGATGGATGCCTTGGTAAACGGGAGCTTCATAACAGTTGTTGTCAAACCCTTAGCGGTGTGGCAGTGATTGAGCACACCTGGTAGGTGCCGTTAGGTGTTACAGTTTTACGTAGAGCGGCGCCGGCGGTTGGCCCCACTTCCCCACCTCGTAGGCAAGCATTACTCTTTTCTTGTTAGAGGCGGAGATATGGCACCCCCCCGCTACATAGACCGACAGCGCGATTGATCCACAGCCAAGGGGGTGCGGAAACAGCGCGATACGTCGGTGGAAAGCTGTTGATGAGATGTGTCCAACAACCACCATTTACGGTGTTGGCACAATAAGCTTGGTTGTGGAGCAATCGAGCTTTGAAAGTCGGTCTGGGGGGGGGTGCCATCTCTCCGCCTCTTACGGAATACCACGGTACGGTATTCGGTACGGTACAGACAATCTTGGTTGTGGAGCAATCGAGCTTTGAAAAACGGTCTGGGGCGGGGTGCCATCTCTCCGCCTCGTACGGTACGCTTCGCTCTCTTGTAGATGTAACAGAGATATTAGCCTTCATTTGTTAGGAGGATGTTTCTTTTGAGCGGGTCGGCACGTCGGCGCCCCTACTGCCGGACGACAAACAAGGCCACCATCTTACTTCTGTCGGAGCAAGGCCCTCTCTGCCCCGATGATACCATGTTCAAGGAACGGGGCTAGCGGGTGTCCTTTCTGGAAAGCGAGCCGGCCCTAACAGCGAATGGTGAGTCCATCCAACAGCGCACGCCATCTACAACCGAACGGATTGCACGCAATCAGCGCCACGAGGCGGAATGACCCTGCCAGAGTACGCGATAAAACCCCATCGGGCGACGCCATAGCTAAGCGGGGGGTTATGTGTACAGTAATGTCAACGGCCAACCCGGGAAAAATCGGGCGACTTGCGAGAGGGCGGGGAGTTGGCATCATGCGAACGGCCAATTTCGCATGTTTTCAAGTTCAACTTTTCTGCTCGATTCTCTCAGGAAATTGGCGTGCTCGACGGGAAACTTTTCCTCAATCTTTTCAAAGCCTGCCACCACGTAATGCGTTCGTGTGTGTGTTCCAGAAGGTCCAAATACAAAACACGATCTGCATCTCGGCAAAGAAGAGAGAGAGAGAGAGAGAGCGAGCAGCTGCTGGGGAATCTCGCCGCATCATGAACAAACAACATGTGTCGCCGAGTCAAAGCTTAAGCTTTGTCGGAAGCGGAGATGACTGACCTGAACACCGGAAACAAGGGTCACGCACGCGGAACCCAACGCTCTGATCTTCACCATGACGAGAAGGGGTGCCTTTGCAATGATGGCTGTCTCCTAACACGATCTCTGCTCGTGGTCAAGGGGGGCAGTGTTGGCCTCGGGGGCGACGCCAAATGTTCTTTGAAAACGGATGGGGGTGACGCAGTAGTGCCTCGCTGCCCCACGCACGATGGATCTGATCTATCTGTGGATGCTGCCCAGTAGCTACACTGACTGTGCGCGCGCTCCATGGCAAATCATTGGCGAGCAGCAGTCGTCTTGACAATGCTGAGCGCTCTGAGGTCCAGCAGGGCCTTCCTGCCGTCGCCTGCGGGCCGCGCGGGCCGCAAGCTGTCGGCACGCGGTGGAGTTGTTGTTGCAGCGGACTGCTGCACACGCTCTGCGGCTACAACCGCAGCCTGTTTCCGGAAAGCTCGACACAGCAGCAGCAGCAGCAGCAGCGAGGCCTGGGCGGAGAGACATGGCGCGCTGCAGGCGTCCTCGCGAGGGATTCTCACGTCGGCGACGAGGTTGTCGGCAGCGGCTGGCGCGGTGAACCCGACCTCTCGCACGTCGTCCACAACTCTTGAAGAGGTACGTAGCACCGCCGTCCGTCACAGCGACGTGGAGGGAGGGCCGCTGCCGAGTCAGATGGCTGTAGCATATTGTATCAACCGAAACATGACGCAGTGGGGCACCTTGGATGAATAGAAAGGAGGAGTCTTTGGCTCTAGTATTGTCGTCCGTGGCAACGAGAGCAGCGAGGTTATCCGCTCGGTAAAGCTCACGCGAGGGTATCTACAAATATATACGTTCTTTGTCCGAAAACCCAAGTTTTGGCGGTGTTCTGTTTCTCCTGCGGCTCTGCGGTCTCCCCTTCGCCACTCAAACCGCTAGCCCGCATGTTGATGTTGCCGTTACAAATGTACCCTGCTGCTGCTGCTGCTGCTGCTGCTGCTCTTGACTATAACGCAGCATCCAAGTTCCAGTTTGTTTTTGCTCATGGCGTTCGAAATTCGAAACGCTTTTGTCTATTCTCAGCCGTCGACTGCTGTTGCTGCGGTAGGGTGACATGTAGATGTCAAATCCCCCTGGACCGATTCTCCAATGGATGTCGATTGCTCCGCAGCAGAGGAGAGGGGCGGTGCCGAAAGTGGCGGCCTTGGAAGCATCCCGTTGAGAGCTTTCCGAAGACGTATCGGTTGATTTATCCATCCTCTTCGTCGTCGAGTAATCGAGATTTGCGATCCGGTCCAGGGGGTGTGGTATCTTACGTCATGTTACCCATGGTTATCATGTGTCACGTCCTTGCGGTTGCACTATTATATTTACTGTTGTGCACGACGACAAGCAGCGCAGGTACATCCGGATGCCTTCCATAAGTGCGGGTATGTGGCAATCGCTTTCACCCGCACAACAGTATAAGCGGGAACCTGCACTATATTACCGGGAACCCGCACTTTTCAATGTGTCATCTGTCTTGGTTACAGTATCACCCGCACTTCGAAGCCAAGCACAATATACTTCGAGTATCGTCTACCATAAACCAAGAAACCAATCTCACAAACCAAGAAACAAAAATGAACCAACACCCCCGCAATATTTATTGGTTAATGATACAACCCGCGCTATACAGGGGGCAACGCCGCCTGCCCATAGTCTACTTGTCAGCCTGCCGCTGCTGCTATAATGATGTGTCGCGCCCCGCTGTTCCTCATTGCCGTTGCGGGTAGATCACGACCGGGCAGTTCAACGACCTCGACCTGTCGAAGAACACGCACGCCGCGATCTCGGACGTTCTGGGGTACGCTAACATGACCAAGGTCCAGGAGCAGTCCATCCCGGTCTGCCTCACAGGTGCGGGTGAAACCGGACCGCCTACTAGGATTTTAAGAGTATCTACTACAATAGAAAAATAATAGGGAGAGCGCACGCAGAACCTAACCCTAACCCTAACCCTAACCCTAACCCCAAAGCACGGATTCAATACTTTATCCCATATGTTTGCTTAATCAATTTTGCTGCATAGACTGCTGGTGTGACCCTAAACCCTAACAATCTTACTCTCACCCTAACCCTAACCTATGTGCAGACTTTTCGACGGTAGGCTATGATGCAGACAACACCGCAAAGTATGAGGTGGACGAACTATGCCCGTTCGAAAGGGTTCTGCACATGTACTTCGAAAGAAGGGTAGACGATGTACCCAACAGCCTTGAGGGTAGACTATGTACGCACTACTCTGCTGTATTACCTGTCTGCATAGTCATGGAGAGCTGCAGCAAAGAGCGCTATGATGCCCTTGTTGCGCTGTCCCTCAGTCCTCACCGCCATGGCCTCAACTTGGAACTGTCTGCGTGTTTACGTTTTTTGGTTTGGTTTTCGCTTTCTGCAGGCGTTGACGTCCTCGCCAAGGCTAAGACGGGTACCGGCAAAACAGTCGCGTTCTTGATCCCCGCCATCGAGCGGGCGGCAAAGAGGGGTTTCGGGAAGGGCGTGTCCGCGCTCATCATCAGCCCCACGCGCGAACTCGCCCAGCAGATCGCCGTCGAGGCCCAGCAGGTGTGTATGCCTGCCTGAGTCTGTGTTTTTTTGTTTCTTGTATTTGTTTTTGTGTACTTAATTAGCATCGGCCACTTACCGGCTCACCAATGGAAGGTCAGTCTCTGTACGGCGTGTGTGTCTGTGTCTATGTGTGTCTTTGTTACTGACATCGACCGCGCTAACCGGCTGACCTATGAAAATACCTCAGTTTCGAGTGCGTCTGCGCGCGAAACGACTTGGATGAGGACGCGCAATAGATAAAACTCTCGAGGACGCGTGGTCAATGGTCTAACCGCTAAGGCATGCAAAACATAAGAGTACGCCCCCCCCCCCCCCCCCCCCC